CCACCCTCCTCCTTGCTCATTTTCCTCCAGCCCCACGAGCCTCCTGTTTCTCAAACACTCCAAGCATATTTCCACCTCAGAGCCTTTAAACTCACTATTCCCTTCACAAGAAACAATCCTCCAATATCCACTGCTTCCTGGTTCCCTGATGCCCCTCCCACTGCATTTTTTGCTTTAGACTTACAACACTCTAAATATGCAACTTACTTATTACTACTATTGGTATTGCCTGTCCTTTGGTTAGGATGCAAAGCAGGTCTGTTTTGTTCTCTGTTGGGTCCCAAGGCCTAGAACACTGCTGGCATACTGTAGGTTTTCCACAGATATTTCTCCAATGAATGAATGAATCCACCTGGTGCCCTCACCTCCTTCAGCTCTCTGCTCAAAGTCACTTTCTTCCAGAGGTCTCTTCTGAGGTAGACCCCACTCCCCACCCCTGACTCTCTGCCCCTAACTCAGCTTGATTTTTCTTCTCAGCTCTTGTTGCTTCTGACATACATGTGTATCTGTCCCCCTCTCCCCAATGCCTCAGTTCCACAAGGGCAGGGGATTTTTCTGTTTCCTTCTAGGCGTATCTGTGGTATGCAACCTGTGCGGTCACCCAGGGCCCAGTGCTCTTGGTTTAATGTTCTGCTGTTGTCTTCGTGAGTTTGTACAAGGGGCCCTGCATTTTCATTTTGCCCTGGGCACTGGCTGGAACAGCACCTGGTCCATGGTAGGCACTGTAAGGATTTGTGGCATGAAAGAAGAAATGGAGGAGTACATACCCAGAGGAGACTGAGAGGTCAGAGAGAGGGGCAGAAATGTACACCCCACCACCGCCAGGCACACATGTACTTTTGCAGCCATCAGCCCAGCATACGCCAGGGAGGAGAAGGCAGGACCTCAGGAACTGGCCCAACATCCCAGGTGTGTGTGTGGATGCCTCTAAGCCTGCCTCCTCTCCCCTGGGCAGCAGACTGGCTGGGGAGAGGGGGTCCAGATGGCAGAAGAGACCACCTGGGCAGCTGGCACCGAGCTTGGGCTGGACAGGGGCCTTGTCTGCCACCCAGCCTGGGAGCTATCATCTCCTGCAGCCAGGTCTGAGGGAGCAGCATGCCACTTGGCCCAGCCTAGCCTCCTGCCTGCCCCCACCTTCCTCAGAAGAAGACAGAGACAGGGTCCACACAAAACAGAAAGAAGTGAGAATAAAGGTCCCGGATGTCCCTTGAGCATCCAGGCCTGACGAGGGACAGTAACTATCCAAGCTCCATGCCCAGAGCTGCAGCACAGCCAGGAAGGGCTGTCATGGATGACTTTGGACTTGGCTATGCATGTATACCTGGATGGGTGGAACTGCCTAAGAGTGTGAGTGTAGTTGAGACTGTACCTGCAGGAGTGTGCACACATGATATGCGTGGGTGTGGGGGGATGCATGTTGATACAGCCGTAAGCAGCATTTCACAGACACCAGAAATGCAGATTCCGGGCTCAAACCCCTGCTTAGCCACTGACTAGCTATGTGGCCTCAGGCCCTTATTTAGGATCTCAGTTTGGGTCTGTGTATGGTATTTATGGGAGCTCTGGTGGCGTAGTACCTAAGGCACTAGACTGCTAACCGGAAGGTTGGCGGTTCAAACCCACCAGCCACTCCTCAAAAGGAAGATTGGGTAATCTACTTCCATAGAGATACCACCTCGGAAACTCAAGGAGGGGTCGCTATGAGTCAGAGATGACTCGACAGGACATGACAACAACAACTACAATGGTATTTATTACTATGGTTGTTTTTCTCAGTGTGAGTATGCAGGTGCATGTGTGTTTGAAGACTGCTGTAATTCAACCCCTCCAGTTCGTCTTGGATAGCCCATCTGAAGTGGTTTCCCCCAGTTTTTTCTCTTGTCACAGGCCCTCTACTCCATCACTATACTAATAATTTGTTATGTATTTATTTTTGTTGTTTCTTTTCTATTTCCTCCATTAAATGGACACCTCCATGAGGCAGGAAGTCTGGTTCCCAGCACCTGGCATATAGTAGGTGCTCAATAAATACTTGCTGAATGAAAGAAGGTAGGGCTGTGTCTATGTGGGGTGGGGCAGGCACTGGTCGAGCGCCACAGGCACCTGGAGTGCCTAGTCCTAAATCCTGGTCTCTACCCACTTCTTTCTGCTGTTCACAACCATTCATTTATTGTGAGCTGCCTTGGAGTCAGCCCTGACTCACAGGGATCCTATGAACAACAGACCAAAATGCTGGTGGTCCTGTGCCATCCCTGTGATCAGTTGTGGATGGGACCAGACCGTTGTGATCTGCAGGGTTTTCACTGGTTGACTGTTAGAATCACTGGTTGATTGACAGAAGTAGATCACCAATCCTTTCTTCCTAGTCCCTCTCAGTCTGGAAGCTCTGCTGAAACCTGTTCAGCATCACAGCAACACACAGCCTCCACAGACAGATGGGAGATGGCTGTGCATGAGGTGTACTGGATGGGAATCAAACCCAAGTCTCTCACAAGGAAGGTGAGAATTCTACCACTGAACCACCAATGCCCCATCTGCTGGCTGTGTTGCCTATGTCTTTTCCTTTCTTTGGTAGTCTAATGGTTAAGGCTGCTAACCAGTAGGTCGGTGGTTCAAACCCACCAGCCACTTTGCAGAAGAAAGATGAGGCAGTCTGTTTCCATATAGATCTTGGAAACCCAACAGGGGTCGCTATGAGTTGGAATAGACTTGATGGCAGTGAGTTTGGTTTTGTTTAGGGGTTCAGTGCTGTTCTGGCCCTGGCCCTACCCTTATGTAACTCAGAAAGAATGAGGAGGCAGACATGAGCCAGAAATCTCATTTAATCTTGACTGCCTCCTCCCTCATCCTCTCCACCTGCTGGAACTCTAGTCTTCACAGTGTGGAATCACCTTGGATATGTCTCTGTTTACACACCGATCTTGCGCCCTTGTCAGCCTGAAAAGCAAGCAGAGCAGGGACCTGGCAAATTCTGTTTATTGCTGCAGCCCCACAGCTTGGCCAAAGTGCCTGGCCCCAGTAGGCACTTGGGAAGTAGGTGTGAAATGGGCTAAGAAAATGATGGAGCATAGGAAGGCTTGGCATGTATGAACTCCCGAATTCTCCACGTGTCATTACCCACTTTGCAGCTGAGGAAATTGAGGCTCAGGAAGGCAAAGCCACTGGCGGGGTTCTGGCCGCAGCTGAGTGGTGTGTGGCTGTGGGATGCAGCAGAGGAAGCAGGAGCAGCAGAGAAGAGCAGTCCCAGCCCCCACCCCACCCCACAGGAACAAGAGACATAAGAGGGTGCACTTCATGGGGGCGGTAAGACCACGGGACAGCGCAAAGCAGTTCAAGGGTCTGTCTCACTCACAGCCCCCAGGACTGGTGATGCTTTGCTGACAGGAGATTAGGAAATTTTTGGCGCTGATGGAGGAGCTCACTGTTCCCGTTCCCTGTCACCAGCTCTAGGGAGCTAGGACTCCTGAGACCCTGTTCCCCTGGGGCCTGGCAGCTCCGGAGCCGGGAGAGAAACCCCCCTACGCCTACCCGGGAATCCCTTGCATTCGGGGTCCTTCCCACACACCCGAAGCCTGGGTGCTGGGCCGAAGCCTGCAAAGCGCGGACGCGGTGCTCAGGCTTTCCGGGGGAACCGGGGAAACCCTACAGTCCGGTCCCCCACCCTCCACGGCACCGGGCCCCTTCCCCCCCCAGTTCGCAGCACAAAGCTTACCTTTGCAGGGGGACTGGGGAGGGAATGTGTATGTGTGTGCGCGATTGTGAGTCCCGCCGGTGTGTGGATACGTGCGCGCGCGTGCCCGGGCTGTGACGGCCGCCGAGATGCTGGTCTCTCACGGCTGGAGGGGGAAGGGAGGCGAGAGGGGGACTCCCCCGTCCCCGCCAGCCCGCCCACTCGCAGGCTTGAATGGAGAGCGAGGGGGAGGGGCGGCAGCAGGAGGGCGCTTTTGTCTGGCTGGCCCCTCCTCCTCTTCGGACCGGGAACCCCTGCTCCCCAGCAATCTGGAGACTTTCCCTCCGTTCCCTACTGCGCTCCAATCACCAGCTTCGGGGGAGTCTGGGAATAGACGTCCCTCACTTGGGTTCTGGAGCTCCTCTCCTCTCATCCGCCCCCGGCGGAGCGCCCTTTAATCTGATAATCCTGGCCCTAGGCTGTAACCAGGCATTTTATCCGGGTATCAAAGCGTGGATTGGGATGTATGGAAGTGTACAGCCGGGGTCCCCAAAGTTCAGTGATGGAGTCTTTGGAGCCCCAGGCGAGGAAAGGGACCCCGACGAAAAGGAAGGAGCTGTAAACTGCCCCAGACAGCAGCGCAGAGGAAAGCGCCCCCATCCGCCTCTCCACGCTCCCCAGCCCCGCACGGGGCCAGGAGCATTGGCCGCTGGCTAGACATTAGCGACACCCAGTGGCCGCGCGTGGACGTCGCAGACGGGTGACCAGGACGAGGGAGGTGGGGTGGGCGATTCCAGACCAGTTTGTGTGTGTATTGAAGTCCCCGCTAAGGAAGGGCAGCAGACAGAAGCGGGAAAGAGACTTGTAAGGTGGAAGCCATGGTCCCAGTCGGGAAACACTAACCTTCAAGGGTAGTGCAATCTCTCGGAGTGGGAAAGACCCCTCAGATTACACAGCCTTCCCAGTTCTGGGCTAGGTGGCCCCTTCAGAGGGGGCGGGTCTCATCGTCGAGGCCCCGCCTCCTGTAGTGAACGTCACTGAGGCGTCGCCAACAGGACAATTCCCGCCCTCACTCACGCCTACTGCCCCCTGTGACCGCCGCAAACGCTTACTGAGGGGCGGCGGAAGATGAAGGAAATCATGACTGGAGCGCCGGCCCGTACCCTCAGGAGATGCCCTAAGGAGACCCCGGGCTGAGGTGGTGTCTTGGCCAGAACTCCCAGAGCTGGAACACGCGCGCAGGGCCCTTTAAGTGGGGCTCGGTCTCCAGTGCCGCCGCCGGGGTTACTAGGGACGTGACGTCACGCGCGGGTGGGGGCGCGCCCGCCCGGGCGGAAGCGGAAGGGGCGGGGCTCCGCGGGCCGAATTTCCAGCACCGCCGCCGCCGCGGGCAGGAGCGGGCGGGACTGCTGAGGCAAGATGGTGGACTACAGTGTGTGGGACCACATCGAAGTGTCGGACGATGAAGACGAGACGCACCCCAACATCGACACAGCCAGCCTCTTCCGCTGGCGGCACCAGGTAGAGCGCGCGCGCGCCCGCCCCGTTCCGCCCTAGCCCGGGATGCGGCTCCAGGGTTCTGACTCCAAATAGGGCCTGGGGAACTCACTTAGGACACCTGAGACTCCCATCCCACACTCGGGATTATTATTACCACCCTAGGTCTCTTGATTCAACTTTGGGACCCTCAATACCGCCAGAACCCTGGCGGTCTTTCTGCGGTCCCCGAGACCTGTCTGATATCTGCGTGGGACTCCCTGTTGACCCCTAAGACACCTTTCCCCGTCTAGACTTCCAAGATAAGCTTTGGCGATACTCCTAGTTCTGTCCACGATCGTCTGTTTACACTCAGAACTTTACCTCAGAGTGTGAACCCTCAAATCAGCTAAGTGATTCCTGATCCTATTTAGATCCTCATCTCTGATTAGGGATCCACCATCAGGCACCCAGACTCCTAGAGTCTAGAACCCCAGTACTTAGATTCTATCTCCTCAGTCCCTAGAGAACGATATCGCGTTCGGTAGAGTAGATGGCCAGTGAAAAATAGGAAGATTCTCAATGAGATGAATTGACACAGTGGCTGCGATGCCTGGACCAAGCACAGCAAAGATTGTGAGGATGGCCAGGACCTGGCAGCGGTTATTTCTGTTGTACGTAGGGTCTCTGTGAGTCAAGCAGACTAACGGCACCTAACGATAATCCTGGGATCCATCCATTTTCTGGAGTCTTGATGGGGACTCCCAGTCAGATTCCTGTTCCAGGCCTGGGGCCCTAACCCACACCTGGGATCTCTTCCCTAGAGATTAGACTCATGATCCACCAGGGTCCTCATCTTGTCTGTTGTTCTGACTCATGATGACCTCATATGTGCAGACTAGAACTGCTCCATAGGGTTTTAAGGCTGTGACCTTTCAGTAGCAGATTGCCAGGCCTTCCAAGTCACCGCTGGATGTGCAAAAAAGGACATGGGGAAGGTGTCATCTGACTTGTAACTTCACGAGGGGGAGAGAGAATCAGCATCAGCAGCATTAGCCTGAGGTCGATTCCTGTGAGGCGGAGGCCATTCCTGCCACCATCCTCCGGCCCTTCTGCCAGTTTTGACACCAACTGTCCTTCCCACACACTGTCTACTTCTCTGCTGAATTTGATAATTTGTAGCAGTGGCCACACTGAACTCACAGATGGTACTCATGATTGTGGGATCTATTAGGGAAGTGACAGGTTACAATTTGGGTTCAGGAACACTCAGGATACAGTTCTTCTATCAGCTGGCCTCTCTTCCACGGGCCCGCCTCTCTCTGGCTCATAGCCCCTTGGCCTGGCTTCTGCCCTGCTGAGACAAGTATTACAAAGCTTTTTTAGCTTTACTGGGAGGTGCACCCTACTCCACTAGCAGGCCTCCTGCCCAAAGGCACTCAGCTTTTTTGCTCCGCGGGCCAGCAGACCCACCACTCTGTCTCGTGCCATTCTCTTGGTTCTGTTTGTTTTGCTACCTCTGCTGTCAGCGTCTCTCTGCCATCTCAGCAAAGGGTTTTCGGGTCCAAGGGTGTGGTGCTTCTATCTTGATGGTAGTGAGAACCCCGTTTTCTGCCTCTAGGATGGCTCATTTTAAGCCTAGGGAGGTGGCAAAACTGACCAATCTGCACGTGAGGGTTCCACACACCTTATTTCTGTGGTCCCACCTCTAGAAGGGTATGCCATCCAAACCCATTGGTGGACCACGAAATGCCTCACATTTACATAGTTCTGGCTAGTCATTTGTTGGGAATTACCAAGACTTTGGCTAGAAGAGCCATACTAAGTAATTCACTGCACCATAGGATGGCTTCAAACCTCTAATCTTTTGGTTAGTAGTCCAGTGCTTAACCACTTGTGCCACACAGGGCCACTTCAGTCCAGCCTAGGACCAGAGTGTTGGAACCTAGTTCACCTCCAGCCCACTGCCAGCTTCCACCTTGTGGGCGTCAGCTCTGATTGTTCTATAGCCTCACTGGCGTGTGGACCAGAAGACCTGTTCACTTCCTGTTATACCTGGAACCCTGCTCCCATGGTGTCCAGCCAGACCCCCTGCCCCTGTTTGATACTGCAGACTCCATTATCACCCACCTCCAACCTCCAAGACAGGCCTGTGTGAGCCTCTGCCAGCATTAGAAACCCACGCCCAAGCCCACCACCCACCCTGCTTTGCCCCCAGCCTGATCTTCTAATACCTGATACCCATATTGGCCCTGTTTCACCCAGGGACCCAGTTGTTCCAGTGTTACCACGAATCAGCTGACTCATGGCAACCCCATGTGTGTCAGTCAAACTGGGCTCCACAGGGTTTTTGGTGGCTTTTTTTTCAGAAGTAGATCATCAGGCCTTTCTTCTGAGGTCCCTCTGGGTGCATTGGAATCTCCAGCCTTTCAGTTAGTAGCCAAGCATGTGAAGTGTTGGCACCATCCAGAGACTCCCTGCAACAGAGCCCTCAGATCCAGACCCCAGAATCCCCAGTCCAGGTGACCTGCGTCCTGCCACCCATTTCCTTGCCCAGTGATGGTAAGTGGGCCAGCAGGATGGCTCTCAAAATACCTAATGGTCTAACCTCTTGCTCCCCCAAACCAGAACTCCTGTACCCACATACCAAAAAAATCCAAACCAAACTCAATGCTGTTGAGTCAATCCTGGCTCACAGTGACCTCTCCTCAGTTTCTGAAGCGGTATATCTACAGAAGTAGATTGTCCAACCTTCCTTCCGAGGAGTGGCTGGTGGGTTTGAACCTCCAGCCTTCTGGTTAGCGCTCCAACGCCTTACTACGCCACCAGAACCCACATACCAGTGCCTCTTAGACTCTCAAATGGAGGGCTTATGCTAGTTAGGAATGTTCCACCCTAGCCTCCCATGTGGCAACTTCCAGTCTTTTATCCAGAAACCTCTGGAAGGGGACTTCCCCATCCATATGGCACACCACACTAGCCCTTATATCTGGCCCCCAGTCTAACTTCCAGTCCCCCATTCCCTAAAAAGCAGTCTCCTGGGTAGTGTACTTGCTGGAAAACCACTGATGTTGGAAGAAAGGTCTAGCACTTCTCTTTCTTGCGAGTGTAACGAGTGTAATGTTTTATTATGCATTATTTAAGACTTGACAGCTCTAAAGAATACTCTTGAGAACAACTATTTTGTCACTTAAAGAAGTTATCTTTACTGTGTGGAGGTGATTTGCCCAGCAGGGCTGGATGATCGGGTGTGAGGCCCCTGCCTCTCTCCTGCAGACCTTCTTCCAGCCACACCCTCTTCCTTGGCCTGGAGCCTTTTTCTGTCTGGCTGCTGAGAGCCCCACCCCTTTCCTTGTGGTGCAGGCCCTGTGGCTGTAGTGGAAGGTGGGACCTCAGCCAACAGGCAGCTTGGATGCTCATCCCAGCCCTGCCCATTGCATCTTCCCTCCAAGGGAGTTGAGGTTCATAACCCCACTCTGACCCTGTGAAACAGGTAATATGGCCCTGTGTCTATGAAATTGTAAGGGGCTCTGGTGTCACAGTGGTTAAAGCATTCAGCTGTTACCTGAAAGGTCAGTGGTTCGAACCCACCATCCACTCCTAGGGAGAAAGAGGAGGCAGTCTGCTTTTATAAAGATTTACAGCCTTGGAAACACCATGGGGTGGTTCTACTCTGTCTTAACAGGGTTGCTATGAGTTGGAATCGACTTGATGGCAATGGGTTTGGTTTTATGAAATCATCCTCTGAATGAAATGAGATTAGGTTTGAAAGGAACCCAACTTGGGGCCTTGGAGGACAGGAGTGTTCTGCAGAGGGAGGTGAGGTTAATCAAAAAGTAGCCTGGTGTGTTTTGACTAACCCAGCTCCTTCTGCACCACTGACAGGCTGCCTCAGTTTTTCCAGTTGGGAATATCAATAGATCCTCTCCATGGTATTGTGGGGAATATATTACTTAATGTCTATGAAGTCTTAGGACAGTACTTACCATATAACGTCATTGTTGTTAGATGCCGTCGAGTCGACTCTGACTCACAGTAACCCCACGTACAACAGAACGAAACACGCCTGGTCCCGCATCAGCCTCACAGTCTCTGCTGTGCTTGAGCTCACTGTTGCAGCCACTGTGTCAGTCCATTTCATTGAGGATGTAAGCTTTCTATAACTTTAGCTCTTGGCGTTATTGTTAGTGTTTAGGTAATTCGTGGTCATGGTGAAAAATTCCAAAGCTTCCAGAAGGGATAAGAGGGTGAGTCTTGCTTCCCAGCACAGCCCCCCAGCTCCCTTGTCCAGAGGCAGCACCTGTTCCTGGATCCCCATGGCTCCTAGTGACTATACAGCAGTGAGCTGCTTTGGGCCTCAGTTTCCCAATCTGTAAGAAAGGAGGGCAGTGATTCCTGTTCCATGGCTCTGGCCCTGCCTAGCCTGCTCTGGGTCCTTCCTGACGGGATATGTTCCCAGGGCTGGGCAGGCTGCCAGCCCCACTAGCTCCGAACCAAAAAAAACCCCACTGCCATCAAGTCTATTCCAGTTCATAGCATCCCCATTAGATTTTAAGGCTTTACAGAAGAAGACTGCCTTAACTTTCTTCTGTGGAGCAGTTGGTAGATTCGAGCTACCGACCTTTTGGTTAGCAGCCATATGCCTTGCCACAGTGCCACCAGAGTTCTTTCATCTCCAGGAGGCCTTTATTTAGCTTTTGCCTCCCTTATGGTTGCCCAACAGAAACAGCCAGGGTAGTCAGTTCTTGCTGTGGCCTGGGGCCACCTGTGATGTCACCTGCAGACAGCCACTCGTGGGGTGTTGGGAAGGCTCCGGGGTGACATGGCCATTGTGGAGAGCAGGTGGTAGCAGAGGCCAGGGTTCCCATCTTATCTGTCTGTGAGGTCTAGGTCTTCACCCATTATTCATGTCAGAAAAGTGAGCCTCCTGGCTGGCTCTGTCAGTCTACTTGCGCATTGGAGTAGGGGTCTGGTCTCTCACCTCTCACCCTCCATTGGCCTGGCCCTGTGCTAGAACGTGGAGATACAGCCTCACAGAAGGCACAAAAGTGAGTCAACAGACCATTCTGGTGGTGGTGACAACGACAGTGGTCATCAGTGGGTAACATCTTCTGGATGCTTGTTTACCGAATGCTTGTTGTGTTGGAAGCATTTTTTTAAAAAGCTCATTTATTCCTTACACTTCAGCTCCATACGTTGGTCATGTTACAGGAGGGACTGTCCCTGGAGAAGGATATCATGCATGGCGAAGTAAAGGGTCAGTGAAAGAGAGGAAGACCCTCCACGCGATGGATTGACACAGTGGCTGACGATGGCAGGACCCAGGCAGTGTTTCGTTCTGTTGTGCATGGGGTCACGATGAGTTGGAACTGACTCCATGGCACCTAACAACAACAGTCTTCACCACCACCCTAGGAGGTCCCATTTCACAAAGGGGGAAATCAAGGCAGGGAAACGTTTGAGGGATTTGGCCAAAGTCGCGTTGCCACAAGTGATGCTGGGGCAGCACCACTGAGGTGGCAGCGCCGCCCGCAGGTGTTGTGCGTTAGCTCTGGGCTGCAGGTTGAGCTGAGCACCTGAAACGCGCTTTCCTGTTTGAGTCCCAGCACAGTCCCCAGGGAGAACGATCATCGTCTTGGACAGAGAATCATGGCAGTACCAGCTTAGAAACATCACTCTGGGTGTTTGGCATGGGTCTTGGCTTTTGACTAATTACTGCCTTTGTCCTGATAGAAGCCTGTGAGGTAGCCAGTGTTGTCTGAGTTTGACAGATGAGGAAACTGAGGTTCAGAGAGGGACACCCAACCAGTATGTGGTGGTCATGGCATAGGAATGCAGACTTGGGGCCCCAAGGTCATCACTCAGCTCAAAGGAGAATCATCTAATCATGGTGGGGGAGTCAGAGGGGCTCGGTGACACCTCAGGTCGGGGAACTTGGGGACAGCATTGTTGTAGCTGAGACTTGGGTGACGTAGGGGAAGAGGGTTCCAGGAGAAAGCAACGGCATGTGCAGAGGCCCAAAAGGAGCCGGTGTTGGGAGAGGAGGGCAGAACCCACCTTCCACAGGGCCTCGATGCCAGCCAGGAGCTTGGGGAGGGTCACAGGTCCACTGAAGCCTAATACTCCCGGTTGGTGCAAGGGAGAGCTCAGTTGGGTATACCTATCACAGTCCTCTGGTGGCCTCTGAGCCTGGCCTGGAGGGTGGAGCTTGAGAGCGGCCATGCCTCTTGGGGCTCAGCCAGCAGCTCTGGCCAGAGTCAGCAGCAGTGGGAGCTGGTGGAGGTAGAGGTGGAGGTGGCAGAGCCGGGCGGGAGGGGAGTCCCGAGCTCACTCTGAGCTGTCTGATGGGGGCCGGGGGTGTCTGAGCAAGAGGAGAATGGAGGGTGGGGGCCAGGAGTTTAGACAGATGAGGTGCCATCCCTGTGCTCAGGGCGCTTTGGGAACAGAGGTACCTGGGGAGCGACGTCAGGAGGGCAGGAGGCTGGTGGACTTGAGCTGGGAGTTGGGAGGGCACACTGGCTTGGAGACAGCAGGGGGCCCTGCAGGGTCCCAGTGCAAGATTGTTGTCGTGTGTGGCTGTCAAGTCGGTTCCAAATCATGGTGACCCCGTGTGTGTAGAGTGGAATTGCCCCATAGAACTTTCTGCTGTGTAGGTGTGAGCTGCCAGCCTTTTGGCTGATAGTCAAGTGAGATTGAAGGTGGGCAAACTGGAGAAACATCTAGGAGTGAAAAGTGTCAGGACTTGGAGACAGTGCAGGAGGAGGAGACAGGGTACTTTCACCGAGGAAGGACACAGCGCAGGACCAGGGTTTTGGGGGCAGGACATACAGATGCTGTGGGATGGGATGCCCAGGCACGTGTGGCTTGAGGGGATTGGTGGGCCAGGGCCAGGGTGTAGGGAGGGAGGCTCCATTTGAGGTGGGAGCCTGGGGCCCTGGCCCTGAGCCTGCAACCAGCATCTCATTATTCACCCAGCAAGTGCCTCATGACCCCTACTGTGTACAGGGCCCGGTCCAGGCATTGGAGATATTACACAAGAAATCCCTGCCCTCATGGAGCTCGTATCCTTAGGGGATAGTGACCTAAAGGTAGTAGATGGTTGTCATAGCATGTTAGTAGGTGACAAGTGACCAAGCAGGTGCAGGGCCAAGAAGGTTACGGTTTCAGTGGAGTGGGCAGACGCTCTCTCCAGAAAACGGCATCTGAGCCAAGATCCTAAGGGTTCTAGGGAGTGGAGACCCATCACCATGGGCTGATTCTGAGTCGTGGTAACCCAGCGTGTGTTGGAGAAGAGCTGTGCCACACAGGGTTTCAGTGGCTGGTTCTTCAGAAGGAGATCACCAGGCCTTTCTTCTGAGGTGCCTCTGGGTGGACTCAGACCTCCACCTTTCAGTTTAGCAGCCAGGTGCATTAACTGTTGGTTATTCCACGAGGCAGGAAGCTGTGTGGTTATCTGAGGAAAGAGCGCCCCAGGCAGAGTGTGTTCAAGAAGAGGCAAAGCGGCTAGTGAGGCTGGAGCAGAATTCGAGGGACGGAGTGGGCGCTGTGGGCAGATCACGCGGAGCCTCTAGGCCACAGCATGGACTCAGACTTTTGTTCTGAGTGAGGTGGGAGCCACAGAGGGCAGTGAGGATAGGAGGGACATGCCCTGACTCAGCTGCTCACTGACTGAGTGTGGAAGCCGGGAGACCAGAGCAGAGGTGGGTGTAGACGTTTCTTGGGGTCATCTCAGGTACAGGGGCCTCAGGCCTGGACAAGAAGGGTCTGGGACCAAGGCCTGGGCTGCTCCCAGGGTGACAGGCCACTGGCTGTCCTGCCCACAGGCCAGGGTGGAGCGCATGGAACAGTTCCAGAAAGAGAAGGAGGAACTGGACAGGGGCTGCCGCGAGTGTAAGCGCAAGATGGCTGAGTGCCAGCGGAAGCTGAAGGAGCTGGAGGTGGCCGAGGGCACGGGCAGCCAGGTGGAGCTGGAGCGGCTGCAGGCCGAGGCGCAGCAGCTGCGCAAGGAGGAGAGGAGCTGGGAGCAGAAGCTGGAGGAGATGCGCAAGAAGGAGAAGAGCATGCCCTGGAACGTGGACACGCTCAGCAAGGACGGCTTCAGCAAGGTGTGCGGGCAGGGCTGGGGGGGCACGCAGCTGCTGCGGCCCTGCGGACAGTGCTGGAGGGCTGGGCAGGTGACACACCCCACCCCACCGGCACCCCCTCTGATCTGCCCAAAGGCCCTAGTCCGAGGCCACACCTGCCATGCCCATGCTCCCGCCTCCTTGATGCTCATGGCACTTTCACCACCGCCGCCGCTGATGGGGTGGGCACTGCGGCCGCGGCCCGGCCGGCTGTGCTCGTGGCGCTCTGCAGCAGTGAGGCCCCAGCCCACTCCCCGTCTCGCCCCACCACAGAGCATGGTCAACATCAAGCCAGAGCAGGCGGAGGAGGACTCGGAGGAGGTCAGAGAGCAGAAACACAAAACTTTTGTGGAGAAGTACGAGAAGCAAATCAAGCACTTTGGTGAGTCAGGTGCTGGAGCCTCTGGTGGGGGCAGGGGAAAAGGACTGGCCCTTTGCTTCCAGGGCCCTCCCAATGCCTTACTGCTTACACCTTCCCACAGGCATGCTCCGCCGCTGGGACGACAGCCAGAAGTACCTGTCAGACAATGCCCACCTGGTGTGTGAGGAGACAGCCAACTACCTGGTCATCTGGTGCATTGACCTAGAGGTGGAGGAGGTGAGTGGCACCTGCCCCAGGGCTGGGAAAAGGCTCTGCCCTGAGGCTGCCTCTTGGTGACACTGTACCTGTTCTCCCTTGACAGAAATGCGCACTTATGGAGCAGGTGGCCCACCAGACCATTGTCATGCAGTTCATCCTGGAGCTGGCCAAGAGCCTGAAGGTGGACCCCCGCGCCTGCTTCAGGCAGTTCTTCACAAAGATTAAGGTAGGGGCCCTGAGCAGTCGAGGAATCCTCAGGGAACCAGCCCCTGTGATCAGAGCCGCCTCACATATCAGGAGCGAATGGGACCGTGGCAGGTGCAGCAGAAGGGGTCCTGAGCAGACTGAGGGTGGTCCCGGTGTGAAGGCGAGGGACAGAGTCAGGATGCCACCCAGCCTGTACCTGAGCACCTGGAAGAGCAGCCCTCCCCTGGCTGAGATGGGGGAGACTGAGGGCAGACTGATTAGGGCTGAGCAGGACCTTGCCTGTGGCCGTGTGGAGTTTGAGGTGTTGTGACATCCCCTGGTGGGGCTGTCGACCTAGGTGTCGGGTCTGTGGCTTGGGGCACGCAGCACGAGGCCCCCAGTGTGGTCGTTAGTGGGTAGGTGGTCAAGCCAAGAGTAGATGGAGAAGGGCGGCCCGAGCAAGCCCCGAACGTGCCCTCCTTTAGATCAGGACCAGACTCAAGACGCCCCAGGGCACCTCTGAGTTGCTGCTGAAAGAGAGTTGGCTTGGGCCCACTGACCAGTGCCCACTCTTCGCAGACAGCTGACCGCCAGTACATGGAGGGCTTCAATGATGAGCTGGAGGCCTTCAAGGAGCGGGTGCGGGGCCGTGCCAAGGTGCGCATCGAGAAGGCCATGAAGGAGTATGAGGAGGAGGAACGCAAGAAGAGGCTTGGCCCCGGCGGCCTGGACCCCGTTGAGGTCTATGAGTCCCTCCCTGAGGTGCGCTTCCCTGGCCCCAGGCAGGCAATGAGTGGGTGGCAAGCAGAGCCCTGGGTCACCAGGACCTGACCCCAGCTCCTCTATAACGCCAGGAACTACAGAAATGCTTTGACGTGAAGGACGTGCAGATGCTGCAAGATGCCATCAGCAAGATGGACCCCACTGTGAGTAACTCTGCCCCAGGCCCCCGCCTGCTGCCCCTGCCTGGGCTTCTCACAGCAGTAAAGGGCACCATGGCTCCCATACATGGGGAAGCCTGGCTTTTAATCCACATGCTCATGTTTATTGTGCATTCATGTGTGCCAGCTTTGCTCTTGGGACCATGTCCCCTGGGATTGTCCCTGTTGCCATGGGCCACTTAGGAGCATAGCCTTAGAGCCACTGCAGGGGGCCTAAGCCTCCAGTGACTCGGGGTGGCCTGGGGAGTGTGCTCCTTCCCAGCCTTAGTTTCCTTATCAAAACCAGTTTCTCTCTTGAAATGAGCTCACACGATATGTGGGAAGGGCCGAGCACACAATGAGTGGTGGTGAGCATTGGCTTTTATTATGGGAGCAGTAGCAAGCCAGTGGAGTCTCTGGATGGTGTGAATGGAAGATTGCAGCCAAGAAAACTCTTCGTGGCAGTTCTCTTGTGTCACATGGGGTCACCATGAGGCAGAGTTGACTTGATGACCACTGTTTCACTGGACCTTGGTTTGACCCTATTTTTGCTGCTTGGCTTGCTGGGCAGCCACACTAGTTTCCTCATCTGTAAAATGGGTCTAGGTGCAGGATTTCTAAAAGCTTCTATAGGCATAAGCGTCTAGACCTGAGGTTGGCAAGTTACAACTCCTAGGCCTGCTGCCAATTTCTTATAAGTAAAGTTTTATTGGAACACAGCCCCGCTTACTTGTGTTTTTGTACTGTCTGTGACTCTTTCTCCCCTGCTGTAAATAATCAAGGAGTTAGAGGCTGAGTAGTTGTGTTGCCTTATATGGCCAGCAAGAGCCTAAGATATTTACTATAGTCCTTCACAGGAAAAGTTTGTTCACCTCTGCTCTAGATGGACATGACTTTTCAATTTAACCAGAGTACAGTAATATGTAAACTTGTGCTCCTCAGCCACAGTAGCTCCTTGGCTCGTGGCTACCCTGTTGGGCAGTGCAGATTCCGAAACATTTCCAACATTGTAGAAAATTCTTTTGGACGGCTGTAGTCTAGAAAGAGCAGTAAGTGGGCTTCAGGATGTGTGATGATGAGCTCCCATTCCCCAGAGCACAGGGAGCCCTGGGGCCACCGGGCAGCCATAGCTCTCCGCCTTATCCTCCCACCCTTCCCTCCACAGGATGCTAAGTACCACATGCAGCGCTGCATTGACTCTGGCCTCTGGGTCCCTAACTCCAAGTCCAGCGAGACCAAGGAGAGAGAAGAGGCGGGGCCTGGGGACCCCTTGCTGGAAGCTGTCCCCAAGGCAGGTGATGAGAAGGATGTCAATGCGTGACCTGCCCCAGCCGCCGCCCGCCTGCAGGCCCCCTGCTCTCCCCTTTCCAGCAAACAAAAATAGATGTCTCCCCAGCTCCTGGCTTCCCCAACTTGCGCTGCTTCCCCAGCCCAGGGCTTGGGAGGGGGGATAAGAAGGAGACCTGGCCTGCCCTCCCTCCCTCGCCACCGCCACCCACCCAACCCCTAGTGCTCATTCAAATCTCTGCTTTGAGTCAAGGGGCTTCACTGCCTGTAGCCCCCCATCAGCATTATGCCAAAGGCCCCGGGGGCCCAGGGAGAAGCAGAGGTCATCAGGTTGCCTGTGGGTGGGGGAGGGTCCCCGGCCAGGGGGGCCTGCTCCAGTCACTGGGCTCTGCTCACTGCTGGTCTCCTGTTCTTTTATTTGGTAAATAGTGACGATCTTCAAATAAAGTATTTCAGATGCCGTGGGCTGTGGTGTGAGGGCTGTGGGTATGCTCTTGGACTGGGTGGGAAACAGGGACCGACAGAGTCTGGGGCCTGGGTGTTGGGCAGTGGAAGGGCTGGGGTGCTAGCCTCTTTCCAGGCTCTTATGTGTGCTGTTCCTCTGCCCGGAACCTTCTTCCTCTGGATGCCTCTTGATCAGAGTCCTCAACTCTTGGTTCTGTCCCTGTCCGTGCCTCTATACCTCAGCCCACTGCTTGGCTTGTCCCCCATAATCCACGTATACCTCACTTCCCATGCCTCCATGCCTACTTGGGCACAGCATCCTCAACTCAGGATCTCACCTTCCATTTGGACCCTCTACCTCCAAAACACACCTTGAACTTGACCTCTCTCTTCCCTGGGCGGTCCCCACCACCTTACATAGCCACCTCCCCTCCTTCCATTTTTAACCCCTCCTGGTAGTTCATGGAGCCCTTCATCCGTCCAGCCCCTCCCCACCCTCACCCCTTCACTCACACTGCCCACAACCCTCTTTGCTGTTCTTAACTACTTGGGGTCATCACTGTGACCTTGGGCCACCTCATGAGGGCAATGCCAGTGCCTCCCTCCAAGGATTTCAGTGCTGGGGGCTAATGAGGGAATGCAGACAGATGTGGTAACTGACATCCTGATGTTCAGTACATGGGCTTGGTACTTGCCTGGTCCTTTGCCTACCGCACTCTTTCTTCCAAAGCTCCAGTGGGACTGCTTAAGAAAAAGTAATGAACTATTTGAGCCACAGGAAAAGGCTGAAAGGATAAAGGGGTACCCGTGGACCCATTGGAGCCCCCATCAGTTCCTCCTGAGGACGGCCACCCTCTGGGGGCTACTTGTCACCACCTCAGCAACTCTCCCTGAGTCACCCTAACCAGCTTCTCCACTTGCCTCACCTGCAGGGGCTCTGAGATGCCCTGTTGGCTGACCCCTTTATAACTGAGTACCACTAGGGCACAAAACGATTCTTTCCTGTTCCTACCATTTCTGCAGCACCCGGAAGGGGTTCTGGCACACAGTATGCCCTCGGTGAATGTTTGCCAAAGGATCAAGGAACCAAACCAGTTGCTGTCAAGTCAATTCAGACTTCTGGCGAACCCATGTGTCAAAGTAGAACTGTATTCTACAAGGTTTTCAGCGATACATTCTCAGCATTAAGTCACCAAGCCTTTCTTAGGCGCCTCTTGATGAGTCTGAACCACCAATCCTTTGGTTAACACAGAGGAGTGCTGACTGCACCACCCAGTGGCTCCGGAGGCTTGAATCGGGATCCCCAGGGTGCTAGTGTGTGCGTACTGGTGACCACCAGGGGGCAATAGTGAGCTGCAAAACCAAGTCGTTTACCCAAAAAGCCAGTTGCCATGGAGCTAATGCCAGCTCCTGGCGACCCCTTGAGTTTCACAGTAGAACTGTGCTCCTAAGGCTTGTTAAACTGGGGTGAGAATAGCAGGTGGGGGATCTAGAGGGAGTGGGGGCGGGCCAAAAACCCTGGCTAAAACACCCACTTTCCAGGATCACCAACTTTATTGTGAAAAATTCCAAACGAAGAATTGATAGGACTGATGTTTTCTTTTGCCTCAAGCTCCAATATAGCTCAGCCCTGTTTGTTACTGATCCTGCCTCAATTTACAATTCGGATGTTTAGTTCATCTTAGATTTTTATTTTTAATTTTTTTTTTTAAATATTGCATTATTTGTCTTTATTACTGAGTATTTTGATGTCCTCTTTAGCATGCCTCATCCTAGCCCCTGCCCAGGACAGGCATCAAACAACATGGAAAGATGAACAGTGAACCAATTTTCTCCTGACGCATCCTCCATCACCCCGTTCCCTGCCCCAAACCATAGGAAACTTCCATGAACAGATTCTCAGCACTCCATTCGGGGTTTCTTTTTGTGAAAGCAAATATACTCTTCTCCCTTCCCTGGTTCCATAAACATTACCTCCAAGCAGACCCTGTGGAGCTACGTTCTACTTTGTAACACCTGAGGGTGTCCATGTGTCAGAGTCAACTCCAAGCATCGGGTTTGCTTTTTGTCCCCGCCTGCCTGTTTTTTGCACAGAACTTAGCTCACACTACTTAATGCTGAGAATGTATCGCTGAAAACCTTGTGTGCATCTTGCTTTGTTCACTGAACAGTGAGCTAGGAGAGCTTTACCAAGCTTCTTCAGGGCTTCCTCATGCTTCTACACTGCCTAGTTCCTCAGTGTGTTCACAGACCATGTTGACCTCAACCAGCTCCTTTTAGCTGATGCTTGTTTCCCACCCCGCCCCCCAACCTCTGTCTGCTTTGACAGACAATCCTGCAAGAATTAACCCTGTGCACCATTTCCCACAGGTCTGAGCATCCCACCTGTGGGATAAACAAGGGTGGGATTGCTGGATTCTAGTGCTGCATCCTCTTGAGAAATGGGGAAGGAGCCTGGGTGACACAAACCATTTGCCGTTGACTGCTAACCGAGAGGTTGGCAGTTCAAAACCACCTCAGTGGAGAAGAGAATTGGCAAACTGCTACCAAAGATCGAATGAAAAAAAAAAATTCACTGCCATCGAGTCAATTCTGACACATAGCCACCCCTCTTTAGGTTTTTAAGGAGGTAAGTCCTTTTGGAAGTAGATTGCCCCATCTTCCTTCTGCGGAGCAGCTGGTAGCTTTGAACTGCCAACCTCCTGGTTAGCAGTCAAGTGCCTTAGGCACTGAACCACCAGAAGAAAACAATGGAGAGACCAGATGGTCAACAATTACTCTAAAGTAAAGAGGAAGAGGTAAGTGGACAGGGAAACTGGGTTACTGAGAGTGAAACACCGGAAGGAAATGAATGAGAATGTTAACAGATTGTGAAAGAATGTAGCCATTATCTCTGAAAAATTTGTGTAGTGATTGTTAAATGGGACCTTAATTTGCTGTGTAAACTTTCCCTGAAAACACAAACTAATTTTTTGAAAGACGGAAAACACTAAGGAGCAGTTCTGCTCTGTAACACATGGGGTTGGTCACCAATGAGTCAGGGGCTGACTCCACAGCAGCCAACAAGAAACAATGGGAAATGGAATTCCACCCAAAAGGGTTTAACTAAACAAGCTGTCATGAAGGGACTATTTTCAGTGGCCTGGCAGTGAGCAGGCTGGAGGAAACTAATAAATTATATTGAGTTGTGTTTTTCTTTTAATGGCTTTTTTTTGGCTGCTGTAACAAATTACTACACAGAGCTCTTTTTTTTTTTTTTTTTTTTTTGGTTTTTAGTGGCTTAAACAACACAAAGTGATCATCTTACAGTTCTGGAGGTCTGAAGCTTGACACAGGTCTCAGCAGGCTGAAATCAGGACATCAGCAGGGCTGCGTGCCTTTCGAAGTCTCTGGGTAGAATCTGTTTCCTTGCCTTTTCCAGCTTCTAGAGGTTGCCAGCAAGGAGCTTTGGTGGTGCAGTGGTTGAAAAGTATTGGGCTACTAACCAAAAGGTTGGTGGTTCAAACTCATCAGCCACTCCAAGGGAGAAAGATGAGGCAGTCTGTCTGCCTCCATAAATATTTACAGATTTGGAAATCTTCTCTGGGGCAGTTCTACTCTGACCTGTAGGGTTGCTATGAGTCAGGATGGACTCAATGGCAGTGGGTTTGGTTTGGTTTTTTGGTAGAGGCTGCAAGCATTTCCTGGCTTGTGGGCTCCTTTTCTCCATCTTCAAAGCCAGCAAAGACAAGTCAAATTCTTCTCATGTCAATGTTCAGTGCTTCTGTTCTACCTCCTAGTTCATTATACCGTGCCTGGGGTCTCCAAAGCTTGCAAGTGGCCATGCAAGGTACAACAATTGGCCTCTATTTACCCAGAGCAACAGAGGAAGAAAGAGAGTCGGCAATAAAAGGAGGAAATATAACGTGTGGCTAATTGCGTCCCTAAACAGCTGCCTCCTTTGTCATGAAACCAGAAGAACTGGAGGATGCCTGTCTCAGTTACCTAGTAACTATCTTAGTTATCTTTCTTAGTTATCTATATCAGAAATATCATAAGTTGATAGCTTTAACAACAAAAATGTATTCTCTCAGTTTAGGAGACCAGACATCCAAATTCAGAGTGCTGGCTCTAGGTGAAGGCTTTCTTCCTCTGTCGACTCTGGAGCAAGTCTCCATGTATCTTGGCATCAATCTTCCTCCAGGTCTAGGAGGTTCTTGGCACAAGGACCCTGGGTCCAAAGGAAGTGTTCCACTTCCGGCTCTTCTTTCTTGGTGGTGCTGAGGTCCCGTCTTCTCTGCTCAATTCTCTTTCCTTTTATCTCTTGTAAGGAGCTCTGGTGGCATAATGCCTAAGGCATTGACTTCTAACCAGAAGGCTGGCGGTTCAAACCCACTAACTTCTCCACGGAAGGAAGATGAGGCAATCTACTTCTGTAAAGATTTACCACTTTGAAAACCCAATGGGGGTCACTATGAGTTGGAATCGACTCAATAGCAGTGAGTTGAGTTTTTTTAATCTCTTACAAAATAGAAGGTGATATAGGCTACACCCCAGGGAAACTCCCTCTACATTGGACCAGGTCTGTGACCTGAGTAAAGGTGTTGCATCCCACCCTAATCCTGCCTCATTAACACGACGCACATAACCTAATCTTCTTTAAAGTAACTTAATTTACCTCATGAACCACAGGCAGAGATTAGGATTTACAACAGAGAATAGGACAATTACATCAGATCATAAAACGGAGGACAGCCACACAATACTGGAGTCATAGCCTGGACAAGTTGACACCTATTTTGGGGGGACACAATTAAATCTATGACAGTGCCTAACTACAATTACTGAACATTTTGATCAAAGATTCTATAGAAGAAGCCCAATTGAAGGGGGAAAGTACAGAACAGAATTTCAAATTCTCATGGAATCCAGATTTCTGAAGCCATGGAGGCTAGATGAACCCCTGAAATTATCACCCTGAGATAATCTTTAAATCTTAAACCAAAAATATCCCTGAAGTCTTCTTAAAACCAAACT